AACTGTATCACAGGCCCTTCAGACACCATTAACACTTATTTAAAACATGGGAAGTACAAATAAAAAAATAAGCATTTAACCCATTGAACACTGACTTAATTATTCTAATGAACACTCAAATTAAGATCTATTCTACTTACCAACTGTATGGCTATCATAAGAACGGTTTTAAGAGAAAATGTCCTACCACACAAGTCAAATAAATCTTCCAGACTAGGTCCAAGTAGTTCTAGCACCATAGCATTATATTTGCCACATGGGCCAAAATAGTAAACCTGAGGTAGTCCATCTGTAAAATGAAGATACAAAGTAATTATAAGGGGTTACATAAGGTTAATGAACATACCAGTAAAATTCCTACCCAATTTCAAGTTGATCTGAAGTTACAAATACATTTTTCACACAAAAGCAACAATAACACCTTGTAAAAACTATAGGTAAAAGGTACAAAAGGACTAATGAAGGTACTACCAGTTTCATTAAGTATTTTGTGAATATTGTTATGTTTTACATGTGAAAGACAAAACTTCTTATGAAAAATAAAACAGAACCTCTCTGTTAGGTTTTGTAACAGTAAATTGAAACAGGATTTTAAAAAGGTACGAAGAGAGGTTTAAATAAGCTCCTTTTTGAAAAGATAGGCATTTAAGTTAAGGCTATGATAAACCTAAATTCAGGAATAAAACCACCTTATTAGCTAAGGAAATCACTTAAAAATCCAAAAGATATTAATGAATCCTCAAGTCTAATGAGATATTAAGTCACGCCTTACATGAATCAAAATAAAAATACCATAGATGAGAAATTGTTATAGTCATCACTTGTTAGCCTTTATTTTTTTTCCAAACAAGCATTTTTTACTTAAATTTGGACTGGAAGGCTTCTCCAGTCTTCTCTTCCTCCATTATTTTTGGGTTTTGTTTAGAGAGCACATAAACAAAAACATTTTACTTAAACGTTAGTCCATTAAAAATCTAAACACCACAGAGTGGAAGTTTGGCTTTTTTTTTTTTAAACCTAAATTTCTATTAATAAGTATGGTATACTGAGATTTTTTTAATTCAACCCATATGAAGGACAGGGATTTTTATGTAACCATAAGAACAAATGACGAAGGGAATTTTGAGAAGTTTCAAGGGGTGAAACTTGAAACTTGAGTTTTTATCATAAAAACTCACCCTGACTTCAATTCTGAAGTATCACACCAGATGCTACTCTAAGCTCTTTAAATTCCTTCAAAGTTCAAAAAAACACACTTCAACAATACAGAAGCCAGAATACTTGGAAGCTTTGTCTAAATTTACAAAACATGTCTGCATGACTACATGCTACTAAAAGAGGAAACATATGCAGAACAGAATTTGTGACACTGTCAGATTTGTAGGCAGAATTGTCAATTTCAGAAGCATATGTATAGGAGTTCTCAAAAACACCCTTTAACATTTTATTGTACAACACCATATCATGAAAGCACCATAGCAACTCCTGTTGAGTATACATCCAGAGCAGGGAGTTACTGTTTCTGCTGTGATCAATTTAATTTCATTTCACACAGGAAGAACAGCACTCACTACCTACAACACTGGACCTTCTGATTAGATGAAAACTCCAGAATTCCTCAAACCTGTGTTTAACATATTAAGTTACTAATTTCTGCAAGGCAGATAATGAGTATGAAGTCTAAAATTCCCTGTGTTTATACAATCATTTATATAGTATGAGATCAAAGAAGCAGAACTCCGGGTGTTTTGTTTCCTTTTGGTTTATTTAATCTAAATAGGTTATTCTTTCTAAGCAAAAGCATTAAGACTAACTTTTTTTATTTGCATTATTTCTTCATGTTTCGATCTCCAAAAGGAAAGTTGCAAAGTAACATGCTACTAGTAGACAGTATCTGGGTTTTTTCCACCTACAGTAGAGATATAAACGTAAACTCTTTTATATAAATGGGGTGAGTTAGAAAAACAAAAATGCGCATTTCTAGGAAATGAAGAATGCAACCTTTTGTTGACAGGATACACCAATTTTGTTACCAATTAAAAGCATGTATTCTATTTCTGTTTTGAATTAGTCTGGCTTCAACTACTGAAGCCCTTTGGTGTAAGAAGAAAATACTGGGTATGTGCAAGATACCCAAGAACGCTGACTTCTCTAACTTCAGAGAAACAGGACTGTGTTGTATCTTGCTCAATAATACACTCTGATCTCTCTTCAACCATTTCTATTCAACTGACGTATCTTCTGCCCTATTCTCAAAAATCCTTTTTTAAAATAAGTATACACCTCCATCCCCAATTATGTGCATAATTCAATGTTTGTCACGCTAATGTCACTATAAAGTTACAAGTAACTTAACTATTCTTCCATCAATGAAGACACTTACCTGTGGCCAAAAAACCAGTATCATATACTCCTACCAAATTGCTTTAATACATAAAAAAAACCCCAAACAAACCAAGTTCCTTTCTAGGTTTAGAGTTCTAAACACAGTATCCTTATTTTCAGATAGGAGTCATACCTGCTTATCCCTAGATATCTGTTCTTGTGCTCACAAGTAACACACTTCCATTTAAATGGACTCAATTTACTAAAGCCATCTACTATCATAGAACTGTAAACTCTTTTTAAACCAACTTGATTTTCTATATTGTCTTGACTTGGAAATTCACCACTTGAATATTGCTGGGATTCCAGTTTCTTTTTCTAGAAAAGTTAATTTTCATTAGCTACCTAAAACATTGCTACTGTACAGCAGTGGTCTCCAAGATACAGTGCACACACCCCAAAAGTGTGCAAGACTATCCACAGGGGTGTTGGAAAAATGAGAATTTTTTTAATCCAAAAATGAGAAACTAAGCTTTGTCAATATTAAACGTACAGCTTGACACTGGAGCCATCACTAAGTGAGATGGTTGTACCACATATAGTGCACACAAGAGATCCTGGCAGGAGAGAGAAAGTGGAGAGGACAGTAGTGTACTCATTTGTTTGCTCACTTCTGGCTTATTGCACTTTACATCTGCCCAGTTAAGTGGATTTATGGATTATATTGTCTAGTTTTCACTACACTACCCCTCACAAAACAGGTAGTGGCTTAAAACGTTTCCCACAAGGAAGCCACACACTGAACATGATGCTACTGACGCTAACACAAGCAAACCAGCAATCAGCAGAGCTGATATTCCTACTCCCTGCACGAGCTTATTTTCAATAATTTCTTGAAGCTAACTACAGAAGACTACCACCTTGTGTTTATCAGATCAAGAAAACTGCATTAAGTATTCCATAAAATTATCATGCCGTGATAAAGTTGTGCAGAATCAAAATATTGAAGCCAAAAGTATTATCGAAATATGATCAAAATAATCATCAAAATAACAAATAATGGACATATCTCCTCCAGTTTTTTTTTTTCCACAACTGTATACACTGCAATACCTCCAGTATTTTACTGTTATATTTTCCCTTATATTCAGACATATTCTTTTTATATTCCTTATGTGCTTTATATTCTCCTGTTCAGTGTCTTCGCACCAAGTAACGAGTTAGTGAATAGAACACGCCTGCCATCTGTCAAGACAGGTTTATCACTGAAATGCTTTAGTCCACCATGTTTAGGTACATGATGTTGAAAGAGTTCTTAAAGCTGACAGGTCTGACTTTCTCTATAACAATGACAAACACATTAAAAAAGAAAACATGATTAGTAGGTTGCAACTGTATCTGTCAAACACCTTTAAAATAAAGGAAATCAAGTAGAAGTTTTTTCTGGTTCATGACCACTACCCACCTTGGCTATCTTTGCCAAGAACTCTAGCATCAAACCTGATTTAAGCCTAAGGCTACATGCTGTTCACTGCAACTCTCTAATGCAATAGACGTAACAGCTAGCATGAACAGATATCTGTATCTTAAAAAAATTCCAGCTACTTTCATACGGTAGCCTCAATTACTGCAAGATTTTCAGAAAAATATTAACTTGATAAACAAGCAGCAGAGACTGACTGTCAAAGAAATATGTAACAGTCAGTGGCAATATCACTTGTACTTATACTTGTGTTCCCAACCTACCACTGACTTAATTTTGAGCCATACTTTAGGAAAGTATCTCTAAAATACAACCAAAACATGTAAAGCTATTCAGCAAGTAAGCAGCTTTTCAGTTTCTTGTAATACTAGTTCCCTTTTGGAGTTCCCCCTAAGCCAGTCAAGGAGCACACCTACTGGTGTGACGTGCATTATCTCTTATCACTTAAGACTGCGTGTTAAACCAGATCCATAAATGCCAGTAAAATACATAAGATCGCACTTGAACAAGCTGTTCTGTATTCAGCTTCCTATACTCCAATGCCTTTTATTGTTAGTTTTATTTTCCCATGTGGCAATTCACTGGACACACCGAAGACGACCCTGAACAGAGTAGATGGAATATTTGCATTAAGAGCCATCTTCCATGGCACATTTCTGCTGGCACACTGTCAAGGATGCAATTCAGCCACCTGCCACAAACACATGCATTCCCCACTAAAACTACAGAATCTAGCGTGAATCCTCTGGCAGTAAGCAATTACAGAATCCAGGATAGTGTCATATGTGGTTTTCGACTCAAACCGAAGTAGCCTACGCAGAAGGCCATATACAGTCTCTGGAAATGTAGTCTTTTATGGCTACTGAAACCATGATCATCCATGCACTGTAAACCACTAAACATGGAATGAGATGTTATATAAGCGGTATGACTTCAGCACGGATAAAAGGCCATGCTGGAAGCAGGTGCCACAACACAGACTACACTTCTTATTTACAAATATAAGAATACATTTGCAATTTAAGAAATAGTAATACAACAGTAAGATTTTTTCAATTAAAACAGATCTAACTTATTTACATTACTAAAACAGAATTAGACATGCATTTTTATTGTAAGCCTTCTTAAATCAAATACCCATTTATCTAACATTCACAATGTTCTGTGAATCATAACATCAAGCCTCCTTCACAATTACAGCTATCTATTACATTTCATCCAAAAAACTGATTATTCTTTGCAATGTGTGATGTCATATACCAAAAACAATACCAATTTTTGTATACTGCCAGGCCTCTTGTGGTCAGTGATCATCACTTCTCAAAAATTTTAACACGTGCACCTCTAAGTTACACTTGAATTTATGCAGCTGCCATTCTAACCAGATGCACTTGCACTTATTCTAGGGGGAAAAAAAAAACTTAAATATAAATTGAGAAAATTCTGGACATTTACTTAAGAAAAGACTGGCATAAAACAAGAAAAACTGCCAGCAACATCTCTTATAGTCCTGTTTTGCTGTACTTAAAAAAATTTCTCATTATCATCGTTGTTCAGACACATCAATATTAGCACATTCACATTAATAATGGAGCAGCTCAACCTTCCTGTTGAAGCTTATGTACCACAGTGGAATTCAAAACTGAGTCAGCTTTTTCCCCAAAAAACTCACAACAAAACCAGAGCAGTCATCAGTAGACAGATTAACAGTGCATATGAACAGATGCCTCTAGTCATTATTTGATTCAGTTTGAGTGCTTTTAACAACAGATATTTAAGTCAAGGATAAAGCATGATTTTCTAAGTTCACGTGTCCTGTAATTTTATTATTTGAGATTAAGAAACACTTCAACTGCTTATTGTTTATTCTCCTACGTAATAACCCCGAAGTAGAACAAAGCAGGACAGTATTAGTGAAAAAAAAAAAACGAAATCAGTTTTCACTTTAAGAGCAAATTCTCAGCTACCTACCCGAAAATATAGCTCAAAGCAATGTTCATGTGAAGTTACTAAAAAAATTCATTTTGCATTTATGCTGCATGAATGTTAGCAAGATATGTGGGCAGGTTATGAAGCGAGACAACTCAAAGACACACATAAGAACTCATAAAACATTATTTACATCTGTAAAACAGGCTATGCTGCACTGAGTTACTTCAACTCAACAGCCAGGCATTTTGGCTTCAACTTCCACTGCCACTGACTGTTAAAAACATAACGCGCTTGTCTTACAAATTAAATCATAATCTAAAATCTGAAGGCCCAGTAATTTATTGCTACCTTAATTAACTAGTGGGAACATTCAATCAGGTAGTATGTTAGCACATACATCATAACTGAGTACTCTTGTAAAAGTCTCCTTTTCAAACTCACTTCAAACCCTCGTAACTCAGTGTTTATCCTATAAAAACCGCAGGATGCCAATCCCAAAATATTTTGAAAAATATAGAACGGCATAAATTACTTTAGATTGAGAGAAGTGAGCATTTTTGTTCATGGATCTCACAGAAACAGTCTAGCTACAATTTATTTCTAACACTACAATCAAGTAGACTTGTTACTAAGGTACTTCCTTATTATACAGTAGAATAACAATCTAGTAAATAAGATGATAATAAAGCAATTGTCTTGGGAAGAGCTATATCCGAGCCCAGATATCAAACCATGCTGTGCTGCATTTTCTTCCACAGCTGGAAGTGAACGGGAGGGTGGCCAGGGGATGAGCTAGAGGTGATCTCAATAGTAATGGGGGTTAGGGTCAGTTCACTACACATCGTTTCTGCCATTCTTTCCTCCTCAGGGGAGGATCCTCACACGGGCTGCAGTGTTCTCCACTAACTGCTCCAGTCTGAGTCCCTTCCATGGGATGCTGTCTGCTCCGTGGTGGGCTTCCCACAGGGTCACAGCCTCCTTCAGGAACATCCCCCTGTTCCAGCGTGGGGCCCTCCCCAGGCTGCAGGTGGGTCTCTGCTCCCCCAGGACCCTCCATGGCTGCAGGGCACAGCCTGCCCTCTCACCATGGGCTGCCGGGGAACCTCTGCCCTGGCCACCTCCTCCCGCCTTGCCGCACTGACCCAGGTCTCTGCCTGGTTGTCTCCCCCACATCCCACTGCTCTCCACAATCCAGGTTCTTTTAAATATGTTAATCACAGAGGCAGTGACTATCTGGGCTGTGGCCAGCGCTGGGTCCGATGACTTGGAGCCTGGAGAGCTTCTAGCAACTTCACAGGAGCCACCTCTGTAACCCCCTCAACCACTACCAAAATCCCACCACACAAATCCAATACAAGTTATTTGAGAAAGACTAATTCCTGTTTATAGGAAATAATGGCTCTGCTTACAAAATCGGGAAGAAAAGGAAATCTTATTCCCTTTTCACTGGTTTGTTCTTAAACCATTTTTTAGTAGTCACTTGCTGTTAATACACATGTACACATGAGGACAACCAGGGGAAAGGCTACTTAATACAAATAAATGCCAAATAAACAGTCCGCACTCAGGTACAAAGCTACCTGCCAAATTACAAAAGGTTTTCTGTAAATAAACAAAAATAGTTAAGGAAAAAGACAACATCATGATTTTAAAAAGCGTGCAATTGTGGATTTTTAGAAGCTTAGAAACCAGAAGGCTCCAGACAATGGGACTGCCAGTACACTGAGGAATTATTTATCAGAGAAACCTCCTATCTGCTCACAATTACTATACTACAACTTTCTTCCAGTAAAAACAGCTTTTCTTTATGCCCTCTACACTGGGCTCTTCTGCCACTTGCACAGTGAAGACACACTTTGCTAATTTACTGTGACGAAAGTACAACCACTGGCCACACAGCAACAGTGCCTGGCATAAGACTTCTAATATCTTCTGTTCTATGCAGAAAGGACTACCTGCTTCTTGAATTTATCACCTGTTCCATCAACTTTCCACCACTAGGTTTTCCAACAGTTCATGTTCAAGCAGTAAAATTCATCATAATAAACACATTCATGGCAACAAAATGAGAGTGGTATGGGGCATGTTCATTTTTTAGTCCCCAACTTCCAGAAATTAATTTTCAGCTTAAACAATATTTTATTATAGTTTAAGCATAACTTTAAAAACACTATTATAAAATCCAAGCTGCCTTTGATAAGGAAAAATAAAACAGGAGTGTACATGTAGAAAACAACTATGAGCATTCCATTTTATACAATAAACTTCTACATTAGTAAAAATTGAAAAAGCAACTATATGTCCTATGAAAAACTGCTCTAGGAATTACAGGCAAAGATCTTGCAAGAATTTTTTCCTAACCAATTTAGATAAGAACTGAACTCAATTTCTTAGTTGAAGAAGCTTCACACCTTGCTAACTGACTGCATACAATTTTGTGAAAGGCACAAAAATGTGAGAAGTTTTAGGTATTGCTCACCTGTAAGAGCTAAAGGTGATAATTGTATCACTGAGCAGAGCAATGTAACAGTGTATTTGCTGGATGTAAAAGCACCAAGGGAAGTAAAATGAGAAATTCCAATCTTAAATTGCCTTTAAAGTTAAACTTTTAAAAAAATTATTTAAGAGACTTAAAACTAGTAAGCAGCAACATATACTGTACCAGTGGAAGTGAAGTAAAACTGAGACTAAAGCTATTCAAATATCGTAGCAACTTTAAATAAAAATATGTGATCAGAAGATTAGCAGTTCAGTCAGAGTGTTTATTCAGAGAAAACACACTGCGTATACTCCAAGACTGCTTAGTTTAAGGTATACACATATGCACAAAAAATGTGTTATTTTAGACACACTAAATAGTCTTAGGTTTTCACAGACACACTTTAAAGAGTTAACCAAAAAAGTCTTACAATATTAGAAAAATGCATACTTTAATCTACTGATGCATGGGGCTTTTTTCTGTTTTAAGTAAAAAGGGACACTAACAGACTTATACGCCTAAATTGGAAAGCTTCTCAAAAATTGATCCTGCATTACATTACAGTAAAATGCATGACACTGCTTTTTACCTCCAGATCCTAGCTGCTTGTAGAATCTGTATTCCAAATGTAGCTGTGGTGCTCTCGACTTCATTGGCTCCTGATTTAAAAACAAAAACAACATTTAAAACAAAGCCTCTCTACCAAAGCCCAAAAGCTAACACACTAACCTACTGCCAGCCAAACTAACCCTACTGCTTACAAGCCACATGGAAAGTTTGAATGTTTCTTAATTACCAGTTATTCTGGAAGAAATTAAGTAACCTAAACTTCAGCTGGGTGGGACTACAGCATACAGGGGCATTTGCATCATGTATTGCTCCACCGGGGTCCAGCACCTAAACCCAGTCACAGACCCGCAAGGGAATACCGAAAAACTTTTGCAGCTCTCAAGAGGTGGCACTGATCTGCAGCTTAACATAGCAAGACGACCATCCTGCTATACGCGATAGATGTATCTTTAAAAACTTTTATCCTAGGATGTTGACAAAAAACCCCAAATCCCTCCATAAAACAGTAACAGCTTAGTAGAAATTAAGTAGCACCATTCTAAACTATAAATACAAAACCAAAAAAAAAGCACCAGAGTAAATTTGTAGTTTAAATATTTCTTTTCCCAACATAATTTACATAATTTAATGAAATCCTAGATCTGTGTTGGACGTACTAACGTGGCAAGGTCTCGCAGAATAAAAAGTGACATGAGATCAAGCACAGGATCACACAAACAGACTAAATGAAAGCCCTAGTTTCTTATTTCTCTTGGCAAAGTAAAGCTACTTCGTCATGAGACTCTTAATTCCTTAGAACATCTTTTAGAAGACATGCCTCATTTCTTGTGAATGTAATTATCTTCCAATGCATCACTGATAACCTGGACATTAATTGTGCATTATTCCTGCAGAGCCTGCTCCTACTAGAACTGCAGCATGTAACTACAAACTGGATTACTGAACAGTACTAACGGGACCACCAACAGGTCCTACTTTCAGTTTATGAGGAGAACACGTGAAATTTATTGTTAAGTATTAAAGACAGATACTCCTTAACAAAACACTTTGGTGTAAGTGTGGGCCTAAGCAAATCAGTGCAACTATCAATCTTCAGTACTCAGCTTTCAGAGGTATAAGTAAATCCACTATGAAGGACATTACTTAAATATTTTAACCTTTCACAAAATCACAAAATATTAGCTACTAGTTTGCCTGCAGTTACAAAATATATCACTCAAGTCTCTAATTAAAGCTTGTTATTCTGTGTGATAAAATGTTTTAGTCAATAAAACTGTGTATATCTGCTGAATATAGTAAGACAATACACTGGCTTATGGGCAGTTTGATTTCATTCAAGTAGTTCTGCCTTCACTGACAGTGCATTAACAACAATCAGCACTCCGTGTTACAAGATACTCTCATAACAAGGATGAAAAATAGTGTGTATGTACTACATTTACATAAATAAGAAAAAAACCCCCACACTTGTCCTAAGGTAAAGAAACAGCTTCCAATTTTTGACATACACATCTACACTTTTTCAAATGAATGCTGCTTGTCCCAGTCATCAGCAGGAAACATTTCTGGTAAGCCTCCAGAAGGCAAATGTTCTCAAACAGTGAAACAAGCCTCTTAGACTCCAGCTGGTGTGCAGTTGCCAGAGTGGAACCCTGTCTAGCAGAGTAACAATTACACACTTTTACTCCCTCCAGTAATGGTGAAAAAATGTGGTATTATGTACTTGCCGTCCATTTATTAGTTGACAGAATTCTGGAATTGCCTTATTTTTGTAAGGAGGCTTAGGTATCTTCCTGCCTGTTCAATAACTCCAAGTATACAAAGGAAACACAATCCTTCGTCCAACAAAACTTGAAGAGAAGTACAAGAACCTCTTCACATAAAATTTGTTTTGTTCCTACACATCCCACTTTGCAGTATGCGGTGAACTAGTGATGAATTAGGTAGATCAAGAGATGGACAGGGACAAGTCGAGACAAAGGTATGTTGAATGTAATCTTCCACCATAAGGCAACAGTGAAGAATGTAACCATGCTGTAGCTATGTATTTATGAATAAGTCTAAAAAGCATGTTCAAGAACAAAAGAAATGGCAAATCACGGTCTTTATTTTCATTAGTATTTCAGTACATTTCAGTATCTAAAAATAAGCTTGGAAAGACATAAGTGTTCAAACATCATGTTAGATGCCGAGGACTTTGAAGCCAACTTCTCCTCTTACTAATTTCTTTAGGTATTTTGTTTAATTAAATAAGTACTTCAAGAAACTATCCTGAAATAACTGTTCCAGAGCTCTGCAAAGAACTTCTCTATGCTTTTACATTCAAAGTCTAATTATTTCAAAGCTTCTATAATAAAATGTAGATAGCTTCTTTACCCCACAAGAGCTTTTCTCTCTCAATGAGGGACCCCGAGTCTTGCTGCGATCACAGGTTTAGTGTGCGGTGTACTGAGCACCATCTATATCAAGAGCAGAAACAACAGCTCCTCAGGTCTGAGAGGTTCCTTTGGACAAGTTTTTTTTCCTTTTTTTTTGTTAGACACTTACGTTCAAAGAAAAGGATAAAGACACTTGAAAGGTGAGAACACCATCAACTTCATAACGCGCTGTTTTATTTTTGTGTGTGGTTTTTTGGGGTGTTTTTTTTTTTTTAATTACTCTTGTGCCAAATCCATCGAATAAGCTACTATAAAGTTTTCAATATATGCCACTTCCCTTATAAAGGGCTTTGGGGAAAAGAGTTTACTTACTTTCTCTAACCATAAGGTTAGAAATTTTCAAGAACTCAGATGCTAACCCAAAGCACAATGTAAATATTCAGCTATTGCTTACTTTTCATGTTTTCAGTAATTCAGTGAGAAACTCCTACGCAGTTTATCTTCTGCCTCTGCCTCATATTTTCTTAAGCAACACCAAACAAAAAGCTATTTTCAGGAAAAATTTCTTTATGAAGTAGGGCACTTGTTACAGGAAAGGATCAGCGATCAAATAGTTGCACTTCATTTGGATTTACTACAGCCTTCTAGAGAGGATCTGAAATGGTATCATTACAGACCAGTAATTCTTTTTTTTTTTTTAAAAAAAAGGAGGAAAAACACATTCCAGCCTTGGCACCAACCACAATCACCTCTCCACACATACACAGACCACCTGAACATGAATCAATGAATTAAAGACTACAGACTCAAAGCAGCAGTGACTACCTCATAACTTGCTTTCACACCAAGACAGAAAGAAAAATTGACTTAATCCCAGAAGCAGCTTAAACAGAAATTCCTGTAGTTATTTGGTTAGTGGTTAAGCATTCTGTAGAGGAGACAAGTTCGGGCAATGAAGATACTTGTCAAAAGTAAAGGGAAGAATAATGAAGGAGGGAGAAGAGCTGGATAGGGAATAGGAGGTTTAAGTGAAGTACAATGTCATGTAATAAAAGAAGTAAATCTAACAATAAATGAAGAGGTGAGCTCAAAAGGTACAGTTCACATAAACCAAATTGTCATTGCTGAAGAACTATCTGATCATAATAACAATTTGTGTACCAACAGACATGGAAACATACAAACACCACTAGACAGCGCACAACTGGTAACTCCCAGTTCGTATCTAACTTTTCAAACTTCAGTATTTGCCCAACCAGAACAGGCCATAATGAAAGAACCCAGATTAAGAGCAAGATCCCAGAACTGTTGCTGTTTTACCACAATAAATACAGGTTTACAATAAGTTCTATACATTAAAAGTATAAGTTCTACACATAATTTTTCTATGTGAGGCCCAAGGGATAGAACTTAAGTGCTTAAGCTATTTTGTTATGCAAATCCTGAAGTTGCTATAAGCATCGTGAACAGGAACATGCTGGTACAGTTTTGTCCACAAGGGACATACTAGTTGAACACAATGAAAAGTTAAAGTCAAAACAGTAGTTATAAATTCCATTTACTTTTAATATCAGAAGCACTCCTGCAAGCTGCTAAGTGCATTATAACTTGTGCTCTCAAGAGAAACCCACACAATCCTCCTGCACTAGGAAATGTCTTGCTGCCCTCAGGAAAACAGCACATCAACAATGAAATGCTACCATGAGGAATACAAACACGATTTTAGGGTAGTGTAGAAGTGGTGCACAACCACACCTGCCAAGGGTTGCTGCTCAAACTGGAATACATGCATCACTCAAGGAACCCCACTCAGGAGGGCTAAGCTTGAACTACAACAGGTGCAGAAGAGGAAATTAGAGTGGTTCATTTAGGATAACAAAACAAAGATTGAGCATATGCCCCATAACTGCTCTCAAAACACAGAAGGGAGTAACTGCCAAAGATAGAGAAAAATATTAAAACATACATTTTTACAGGAGAAAGGAGGGTGTACACCACACAAGCACAACCTTCCTAACTTAAAATAAAGTCCTGCCACTGTCTCCAATAGGAGAAGAAAAAAAACAGCAGAAAAGCAAAATTCAACTAAATCATACAATTCGATGCAGCTGCCTTTAACTAAACTTTGTGACGCAAATCCCTTCCAATTTGGAAGCAAATTAAAAAAGCTGAGAGAAAACCAAAATATGAAAAACATTAGAAGAACCCACTAGTTCTCCTGTTTATTGCAAGAAACACTAGAATTTTTCATACCACTAATATAAGGGGACAAGTTGAAAAGTTAACTATATATTCAGAGTTCTTTGAGCACTAGTAGTAAGTTACACATACTCCACTACACTGGTTCTTTAGTGACTTACTAGTAAGTTACTGAATAATGATCTTTCAAGCTTTTTGCACAGCTGTAAGATTGAGTAATTTGGAAACAAAAGTTACAATTGACCAGTATCTTTCAAAGTTGAAATGGGTTGAATTAGTGGCTAAGTTTATTAATAGCTACATATACAATAGAAACGGTTTTACCAGCTCCCACCGATCAGATTAAAACTTCCCCTTGCTAACATCAAGTAATTACTATTTTATTAAAAAAATCACTATCTTGCAAGCTATTTCTGAATGTGCTTTTTAGTAAACAGCCTTTAACTAGAGGAATTCTCAGACCGTTCCCATGTTTTACCAGACCAAGTTTTTAAAAGTTTTAAAAACAAAATTAATTTAAATCTGGTATGATTTCTACATGATAACCCTCAAAACCACATCCAACATTGCTCTTACAAACCTTACCTTGGGACACTTTTAAATCTGTAACTACTCCTCAAGTAAACATTTTTCTAAGCAAGGATAGATATACAGATAGATTTCAGGAGTTAATTATGTAAATTTGCAATACTTTTTAGATTCCCCATCTAAAGCCATGTATTTCTGCTTTCACAGTTTACCTTACACTTCACAGAACCGGAAATTCACCATACTGTGCTATTAACAACACCCTGTCCTACTGCAGCAACAAGAAATTAGAGTTCTAACATTCTTTCCATGACAAAAAGTAAACAACTCCATTTCATCTTGAGACGCTTTGGTTACAAAAGCAGTCATTTACCATGAAATTAAAAGTATCCAGAAGCAAAACGTGAAATAAGCTTAGTAGTTCTGATGAAAGATTCAGAAAAAGCAGAATAATGACATATTAACAAAATATCCAAATTTACCATGTTTGAAAGTGAAGGAAACATTTTACACATCATTGCGAGTAAAACACATCTACCAAAACAGATGTGCAAATCCAATAATTACAGACCAAAAACAGTATGAGGCAGGAATAAGAGTGTTAAAATACAGGCAGCCTGCAGAATCTCTGGAGCTTTTCTGTAGTCAGCTGATGTCAGATTCACATTAAATCTGGTGTTCCTCTGCTTGTTGCAGAAAAAAGGAATCTACTGCTGAGCGTATCCTTGAAGCAGCAATCCATCATCAACTTCACAGGCACAAGTTTAGTTCCAAGAACAGTGATAACAATTAGCACTAGTTTCATCCCATAGGGCCAAAGCATATAGTTACATCTATCACTTTTACCTAGTCAGTTGAAAACATATGAGACTATTAAGGATTTCAGATAAGGAAATGAAACCATTATATATTAAAAGGAAAATTCCGATTAGTTTCTCACCCCAAATCATTTATAAATTAAATTAACTTACCAGCTTAATTGCCACATAGTCATTTGTGTATAAATTTTTTCCTTGGAAAAAGAAAAAAAGAAACAAGAATATGAGACACTGGGTTTTCCTGTTGAAGTAAAGTACTATGTAAACCTTAAGTCTTTCAGATATTTTTGATCTAAGGTGCTAGATGTTGTGGCAGTTACTTAATTAGAAGAAAAAAAGAAAACACTGCTTTTAGTCCAACACCATACTTCAAAGAGAATTTTGTTCCTGAACAGTGTAAGAAGTGGTAGTTTCACTAAGAGAGACTCTCAGCTATTTGAACAAGTTTGCAAACTTCTTATACACTAGAAGAGCTTGACAATTGGTAAATACCATTAGTGGAATGTGATATTCTACATTTCCATATTTACTGCTGAAATGCTTTTAACATTTATTTTAAAATTACCATGTAGTTTTGCAATACCAGACATTCATTACAGCCAGAATTAAACAGGACTGTATTTCCCCTCAGTTTTGTAATTTACCAAGCCTAAATTAAGGACAAACAGGGCAAGAATATTACTGAGTTAAATGCTTACACCATTTGGAAAATAGTTCTGCTGCTTTAGAAGCAATTCTGATACCGGGTAAGTATATTTCAAACGTTACTTAAAGTTGTATGCAATGACTAAAATAGTAAACAAGCTTTGTAGCTTTAAAAAATAGTAGATAAAGGAAAAAAGTTGTAACTTCCAACACTTTTAATTTGTCTAGTGTCTTCAAGTGAATTTATTGTGTAACGTTTTCAACGACATTCCTACTTTGCCCTCTGCAGTATTTCTCAGGTCTGAATTTCTGATGTTTAACTCAGTTTTGTTCAAGAAATCAAACAGGGAAGAGACATGGATCAAAACAAAAGAACATATATTTATAGTCTACAACCACGATCTCAGTTTTAATTCCTATTTTTAAGAACAGATTAGTCTTGCAAAGCTGAAGAATGATGTATTAAAATCACATGTCTCTTAAGGGATCAACTTGACAACAAGTGAGTTACCTGAAGGCTGTACAGTAATCAACACAGAATCAGTATGGGCAGCATGCCCTGATGATCTAGCCACCCAAACAATAGGTAATTCCAAGACCTGTCCAGGGATTAGCGTGAAAGTTCATGCGTCTTAAACAGTTATTTCTTACCTTGTGATTGAGTTACATTTTGGACAAGAAGTGTACTCTGAAGTTGTTTCTGTGTGTTTGCACGCTACTATAACACAGCTGACCTCAGAAGAACCTCTTGCAAGGGCCCTGTTCATTCAGTCTCTGAGATAGATACGAATGAGCTACTGGAGCAGCTACAAATCCAGTTACAGCTAAATGACCAGATGTTGGGTTCCAGTAGCCAAATGCAGTAATGACAGGCTTATTCTGAATAAACACCAGAAGGGACTTGATAACTTTCCATGTGGTGATCCAAGACAACTCTCTGAACTATGGAAGACAGCAGGTTTGACACCACCGCTGATCGACCTCAAAGGACAGAACAGGTCTTGTTTAATGCATCACCAGGAGCAGCAACAAGCTTTCTGAGTTCAAGATAAGGATCGTCTACTACACTGCTAGTTTAAGATTAACAGCTCGATATTCAAAATAATTTAGTCTTTTGCAAGCTAATGGTTGCATATTAAACACTCATTCGCTACACAGCCAATTTACCATTTGCTCCACAAGCCGCTACCGAAGTCCGGCAATGCCTTTCTTTGCAGGGGGAAGAACTGCAATGGCTACTGATTTGCAATCGAATTTTTATCTCCTGAAACACAACTTCACCACTCTAACAACTTTATTCCTCCTTTAAGTGTTAAAGATTCAACCCTAAGACACATGCTCAAAACACATTCCAGTTTGATGAAGCAGATAAATCAAGTGCTTGTGTACATCTTAGGAGGGATGCTCACTTTAAGTTTACTTGCTACCGTAGTAACATACAGAAAAATAACAAATCACAATCTGCAATAGCAATCCCAACTCCTGCTTTCAGTAACTTGGTTAAAACATCTTACCCACAAATAAGGGTTTGAAATACCTATTATAAATGTGAAAAAGTACACATTAACAAGAGAAAGGCAGGGGCTGTTGGACGACAGTACACTACCCTATTATCTTCCTCCTATTTCTTTTACTTGTCTCATTTATTTCCACAGTATCAGACTTTAAGCCTTAACCACTTAGAATGAAATAGATGATTTCACTCTATCTCCTCAAGCAAATGAGTTCATCTATTTCAGATCAATATCAGATTATCAATTCTGTACATTGTGACCACTCCAAGATAATAGATAGGAAAAAAATTAACTTTAATTATTAGTTTACAGTTGCCTTTCATAGTAAACGGGACCTTAATTATACTGGTTTGATTTAGTTCAGGGAGAGGTTTAAAAGAGCAGTCATTCATCCAGTTTAGGATAAGCTGAAGACCAAGCTCCAGCTTGACTTCTGAACAGTAGGGGCACATATATAGCCCTATAAGGTTGAAACACATCAACTTTGTTTAACCATTAATAGGAATGGCAAGCGAACATCTGAGACACTGTTAAATTCAGTATCCTTGGGCAGAGGATGTTTATTTCACCCCTGTGCAGTATTAACACTCTAAGCTTGCTTACATTTTAACTCAGACTATGTATAAGGCCCACAGAAAGGACTATAATAACATGCATAAAATTAACGTTTCCAAACATGCATAAACATGTTATATTTTATGTAAGCACTGAGAACATTGTCTGAAGGACAATGAGCAGCAGTTATACCCAAGGCAGAAGATTAACAGAAACACAACACCTGCATAGCCCACCCTACTCTTAAATACCCTAATTCAGAACCCATCTCTCTTTATGCCTTGAAGCAGTGCATTAACTCAAGCCTTCCCGAACACCAGAATGAATTCTTGACATTAAGTGTCAAAGCTCTATTTGTTAACACATACCAAATTCCTGTATCTTGAAAACCCTGGCTAATCATGCCGTTATCATGGAAATTTAAGTCCTCGGTACTAAATATATACTCTCCCAAAAGCACACACCCTTCATTTAGTATCTGTTTTAATAAATCATTAACTTCCCAGCTTCACTGCCCAAATTCTTCAAAATTCCACAGGTCCTTCTTAGTGTGTCCCTTCTTCACCAACTGATTTTCATGCAGCTGTACAAGCATGGAACCAAGTGACTGAAATACCCACCTCCCAGATTCCCCCTACAGACAGATTCTCACGTCCCTGTCTAACAGCAGGCCACTGTTCAGCCTCACTATAGGGCTGATGAAAAGGAAGCCATGGAATCCAAGAGCTTACTGCCATTAAAAACACTGTAGTGACTGCTACACTGTCTCCAAGACCACAATACTATAATCCTGACCTACAGGAGGAGCAAGTGTTTTTTTTACATACACTTAGCCCCAAACACATTTGAATAAAGTGACTCAGGAAGCCAGAAAAGGTAGCAAAATACAATAACCAAAAAGTAATTTCCAGCATCTCGGAAGACAAAACTGACTGATTCAGAATAGTACTGCAGACAGTTACAGAAGTCTTTCTTAGTGCCAGAAAGACTCCTGCTACAGAAATTCATAGTATGCGATAGAGCTTGCTCAAGAGTTGTGCAAGGCAAATTTAACTTATGATCTGAAGCTTGACAGTCATTTGAAGAGCTGTATGGTGTGTTCACATAGGCATTTTCATTCCTAGACTGCATACAACTGCCTTGAGTAACATCAACTGAAACAAGAAAACAAGGATCTTACCTAACCGTAGCTCTCCAAAATTACCACATCCAATTTTCTTGCCAACTCTGAAGTTAGGTCCAACCATTAACACACCCGAATTTGAAGAACCAGTTCCACGTGGATTATGGCCTGACCTCCCAGTAGTCTGTGTCATTCTTTCATCTGCCTTGTCCTTATCTTTCTTTTTACTATCCATGTCAAGTTTACGGTACTCCACTTTGATTTCTTCCTTTTTTAAAAATCAATGTAAGCAAACTCCAGTTGGATGATGCGAGAACAAAATCATCATCGATGATGTGCCCAGCTAGCTACTGTCAGGAAGCAGTCAACAGCAGCGTGTTCATCCCATTCGCAAAGCCTTGGTAGTATCTGTAGTAAAATTATATCTCCAGAATGCACACCACCAGCAACATTAACGTGCATTTATAGGAAGTCTGTTAAAGAAAAAAAAATTATTCAGTCAATAAGATTCTTATACAAAATAACCTCCCCTTCTAGTCATACAATTAAAATAACCAATTGTATTTGGTTTACAGATCCCCTGTGGAAAAAGCTACTGTAAGGTTAAAGCCTGATTCTAATGGTGAGATACCAGTGTGACTAAAATAAACTAAAAAAAAAAAAATTGCAAGGCTTAAGGCAACAGATATTTTCAAAAAAATGCCCACCTATAAAACTACTTCCTGAGCATGTAAATACCAAGTATTATGAACAACCACCCAAATAATTGCATCTGCTGTACCATGGATATTGACAGCATGGTCATAGCTAGATGATATTTATGAAACACTAGTCAACAGCTGACTAACTTATCATCACCTGAACAAAGCAGCACACGGAAACTTGTTTGGTGAAGAAACATGATCACCTTACTATAAAAGTAGGAATGAAAGGCTTGTTTTGAGAACAATAAAAACCGCACACAGACAAAAGCAGGTTCCAGTCCAAGCAGACAGGCTTACTGCAAGGGAAAGACTGCAGCAGAGAGTAATGAGTGCAGTGGTGGTGTATGGTATAGACAGAGGTGTCTAAAGAGAAAAACACAAGCACTTTTGACTACCACATGATCTTGGAAGTTCAAGCATCATTACTAGATAACCCTAAAGTCACTTGCCAAACCACAGATCTCGGAGGAATAGACTCAGTGAGAAGCAACAGGTAATTCCTTCTCACTCCCTGTGCTACAAAGCTAGCAAAGAAAGCAGAAAACCAGAAGTAGAGTGTGTTGAGGTAGGACTTCACGGGCATCAATTAATACTTCAAAAGAAGGTCAGTACTTCTGATGCAGCAGAATGCATAAATATTTTGAAGTACCAAAAGAAAGACTTATGTTCTGTATCTTACAGGTTTTCCAGTGAGAAATAAGGTAAAGAACCCTAGAATTTTTAGTGTTAATACACAGGCTTCATGGCAAATAAAAGCAATGCCCCTAAGCACAGCACATTAGACTGTTACCAACACAACGCTTTGGTAACGTCAGTAGCAGTGGAAGGCTAAACTTCCTGTAACTCTTCTCCACATAGCAAAACCATCACACTACAAAGTGCCAGCGGATGTGTCTTGGAACAGTGAAAGGCTAGAAAGACAGTAATAGTTCACAGTAGTGACACCAATGGGCTCCACAACAGAGCACGAGGACTACAGGAGGGACTGGGCATGCAGGCAGGCCTGAAGAAATTCAAATCCTCTTTCAAAGCTAATAGGATTCTTAGCTTAGAAGTTTCATAGCTTTCCTGTTGCTACATATACAATATCTAATCCCGTCAAATTAGTTTAGAATTGTTTTCTTCTAATGCAACACAACTTGTTTAGAATAAAATCTTTATTTCCAATTTCCCCACTCTGTCCTTGCATCAACTATCACTTGAGCACAGCATACAGCCTTGCAAACTGAGCAGAAAAGTTAGCCATCACAGGCAGGTTTCTGAGGGTGCAGAGAGATATGTCAAGATGCAACAGTGCAGAGGGTAACAAGCATGCAATGTGAGGACAAAGGCCACCACAAATTCAGCAGCAGCGCTAAAGCAATGGTGATGTCCAGGAAAGCAGCTGTGAGCCAAGGAAAATACATCATCATCATCAAAGCTTCCAACGTCACACTGTTTCAGCTCACATAGCCATAAAACAGTAACAGAGAAGCTAAGCTGGGAGCCCAAGGACAGATTTGGTATTTATGCAAAGCGTGTTAGCTGCTCTGCGTGCATGCTGCTCCAGATGAACCCTGGTGGTTAACAAGACACTGAAGCTTTGCCAGCGAGAAAATAGTTCAAACAACACTTCAACCCATCTATAATTGCAAGATCTTTAATTCGGAAAGCCCAAATCATAACCAAGCCCACTCCTTAGTATTAAGTTAGTGGTGAATACCTGCAGTAAGTTTAGAATCTTCATTTTAAAAATATTCCCCGCACACCCAAATACTTGTTTTCCACAACTGAAATCTAATATTTTAGATATCAGTTTATTTAGCGATTTAGGTATCTGCACTAATGGCAGACTGTCCCAAGTCAGTTTATACTAACTAGAGTCTTCATCAAGAGAACTTCTTCCCCGATACTCAACACACACATGCTCTCAAGACACTGAAAATGTCTTACTATAGAACACTGCACACTTTAGTGAATATCAAATTAGATGCTCTTTTAAGCTATTTATAATATGTAAGTTGATTTATTAATTAAAACAGCCAATTTGGAACAGAATCTTCTCAATGAAACAATTTGCCAGTATTTTTGAATTACAGCCTTCACTCTGAAACTAAATTTACATCAGTTAAGCTTTAATTAGTTTCAAAAACTGAGTTGACTTATGAGAAATCTCTTCACTTTTTTATAGCCATTTGAAAGATGTACACCCATTTGCTCTCTCACTCCCCCTCATCAAAAGGGCAGTGGGAAGACAGACAGACAAAAAAGCACATGGGTCAAGACCAAGACAAGGAGCTCACTCAATTATTAGTCACAGGCAAAACAGACTTGCCCTCGGCAAGATTTAAATTTAATTTATTGCTAGTTAAAATAGGAGAAGATGAGAAACAAACAAAGCTAAAAACCCTTCTCTCACCCTGCTTCTTCCCAGGTTGAATTTCACTTTACACTCCTCTACATCTCCCACTCTCCCGAGCAGCACAGGGCAACCAAGGATGGGGGTTGAGGTCAGTCCACCACACACTGCCTCTGCCACTCCTTCCTCCTCAGGGAGGATCCTCACAGTCTGCCCCTGCTCCAGCCTGAGATCCCTTCCACGGGCTGCAGTCCTTCAGGAGCAGCCTGCTCCAGTGTGGGCCTACCACAGGGTCACAAGTCCTGTCAGGAAACCTGCTCCAATGTGGTTCTCCATGGGCTGCAGGGGCATGGCCAGCCTCACCACAGTCTTCTCCATGGGAATCTCTGCTCCAGCACCTGGAGCACCTCCTCCTCCTCCTCCCTCTCCACTCACCTGGGTGTCTGCAGGGCTGTTTCTCTCACATACTCTCACTCCTCCAGCTCTTGTGCAGCTTTTTTTACCCTTTTTAAATATGTTTTCCTAGAGGGACCATCACCTTCACGACCGGGCTCAGCTGTGCCCTGCAGTGTGTCCAGCACAGGGCAGGCCTCAGCTCTCCTCAGGGCCCCCTGCAGCCCCCCATCAGCACCTGGACACAGACACCCAGTGCATTTACAAAAGCAACATTCACATCTTTCATGAAATTTTAAACACAGTAGGTGAGTAACGGTTTTTTTAATGCAGAAAGTGCTTCCAAGAGAAATAACCTATCACACACTATTCAAACCCCTGCTTCCGAAACATGTCTAAGCAAACACCCACCACAGGCTGTTTGTCAGATGCCACTTTAAAAGCTCAGAATGCACTAATATTAAAAATAAGTTACAATGGATTCAAGGGATAAGGATGAGCATGAGTATAATCTTCAGTATTTATAAAGTATATCAGTTTTGCAAACGGTACTAGCATTTTGAAGGCAAATCACACAAAGCAGAAATAAACACCTAATAAAACCCAATAAAATACTTTAGAGTAAATAGTAAATAAACTGATTACTGAACACCTACCGGGAAAAAAAAAATTTGCTCCTGATACTAAAGTAATGCTTTATTGAGTGTTTTACTGAAATCTAATGCAATGATGCCTGAAGCCAGCTACATTACAGGTATACTTCTGATAATAATGGTAATTAGCACCTTTTATCAGATTCCTGATAAACAAACAGCAGAAGCCCCATACATTTCTCACACCCTACATGACAGAATGAAGACACACAGGCATTCCAGTCACTGTTTCTCCAGAACATAAGTGTTCTCTTACAATATTTCCTAAGAAAATAATCTGCAACTGATTT